CCAGGGTTGGATTCCCGACATGAGTACAATGTGTGAAGCCCATTTTCTGGTGTCCTCCGCCGTCATATTGCTGGAATATTGAGAAAAGCGGGGTAAAACTAAACTCCCAGACTCATTCACTCATGTCAGGAAGAAGCACTTGAATATAGATGAAAGGAGCATCGAACCATCACAAAGACGATTCACTGCGCATCTACTGACGTTTGTGTATGACTCAAGATATACCGTAAGAGATTTGTTTTACATATCAGAACGTTATAATTAAAGATATTTAATTGACTTTCTTCATTATAGACTAAAATATAAAATAATATGTTTTGAATATCTCGGAAGCCATTGGGTGCCGGTTTTAGTGCAGATGGAAGGGATAATGGGAGTTCAAAACGATCGATTGTCACTGTCGAGAAAATATTGAAGTCACTTTTTAGGTTTCATTACGATTAACCCAGCCCTTTGTTTATGATTCATAAACCCATGGTCTGGCAATCACTGGATTGTCTGGTCCAGATTCGTTTTGTTTACAAACAACATCGTACAGCTGTAATGCTGCTGAAACATACTCATGATAAAGTCACAATTGTACAATCGACTCTGCTTTTAGCAGAAAAAAATGCATTTGGTACAATACACCGCTGGGCAACGCCTCCCTCCTAAAAAGAAGTACCAAGACCTTCAGCGAAAACTGGATGACTTGAAAACCAGACTTGACACCGGGCACGTCTCTGTCATCGAGTATGCTGAAAGGGCATCGTTCGCTCTGAAACTTGCTTAATGACTGTTTCATGTGTGAAGATGCGTCACAACATGTAAACAAATTTGTTATTGTTTGCCAGAAAAAGGCACATAAAATATCTGAATGTAGTTGTTTTGTTGTCCACATCGCCTGTTCATGCATGAAAGGGACTTGAACAATCATTCGCTCGCCCATTGTTTATGTTAATTGGGAAGGCGAAAACGAATTTCGCTCAATGTTTATACAAGGGTAAATAACTCGCCTTAACGCGAATGAACCGGTTATTCTCTGTTGATTTGTATCTACGGAGAATCTATGCAAATAGGTGAACAATGATAGTTCAATTTTATATGTGGGATAGAAAAGCAATGTGATGGGGAGCCCTGTAATTAAAGCATTCGGTCGTCACGGTGACGATTCCCAGGATGGGTATGATGAATGAAACCAATTTTGCTGGTGCCATTATGCAGGAATGTTGATAAAAGCTCATACTCACTCACTACAAGGATGTCACCAACACGCATCTCTGATCATATCTTAGAGAAAATACAAAGGGAAATAAAAAAGGGGGAGAGTACAAACCAAAATACATCTTCGAGATGGAGACGGACTAGTTCCGTTGTATCAAACAGCGACAACTGCAATTGTATGTCTATTTTCAGAACATTCATAATTAGAAAAAGTCATTTTGTGAAAAAAAAACTTACTAGAATGATTGAATTAATAATTACAATCATATAAATACCTCATGCATGGGTTTTGATTATTGGACATCTGTTGCTACACAAAATTATACTTCAGTTACATGTTAGAAAAATCCCCAAATCCACTTGAAGTAAGTTTGGAGGAAATGTAACCATTGGACATGAGCGTCAAGAGTGTGTAAGCGATGTTGCAATGCCATCATCGCATTGACGGGACTGTTGACAGTGGTGTCAACCAAGCAGCCGTTTAAACGCCGACAGCTCGGGTTTGGTGTAAAATCTCGGCGTAAATGAGTGAGTGAGTTTAGTTTTACGCCACACTCAGCAATATTCCAGCTATATGGCGGCGATCTGTAAATATTCGAGTCTGGACCAGACAATCCAGTGATCAGCAGCATGAGCATCGATCTGCGCATTTGGGTACCGATGAAATGTGTCAACCAAGCCAGCGAGCCTGACCACCCGATCCCGTTAGTCGCCTCTTACAACAAGCATGGGTTACTGAAGATTCATTCTAACCTGGACCTTCACGGGTCTCTCGGTGTAAAACTACGGTGTAAAACTCTCTTACACGTCAAAGCAGCGTAACCTGCAAGGGCATGTTTGGAAAGTTTAACGGCGGTTGCTATCTATACCATGCGCAAGTATAGTTTGAATGAGTTGGCCTTTGGTACTCTTTCAGGGCGACATTGATTTTACGCTTCTTCAACCCCCGTCGATCACAGTTATTAATCATATACTATAGAGTAGTACAACATTTATGAATGAGATCTGTTTCTTTTAAAAGCAAAATGAGACGGAAAAGGCCCTGTGCCGTTTTTACACTGACAATGTTATCCCTCCCATTCGACTACTATGACAGCGAGGGCTATTTATTCTACTAAGGAGAGAAAACTGCCACTGTGACACTTGTATGGTTAATCTGTTATTATTATATCTTATATGACAAATCAAAAGAACATGTTCATATTGTAACTGTAACGGGGATGGCTCTAGGTTCACAACACAACTCCGTTGAGGCTGTAGTTTGGTTTTATTAACTGTAGTTTGATTTCCACTGATGAGTGTGTACAAATCATCTATAAGGGAACTTGTATCAAACTGGCCACATGTTGTGAGGCACCACCGTGCGCCAACCAAAGACCTGTAATTCACCAATTCACAATCCTCCTTCCATGACCTTCTAACTCCTTGCCAGGTTGGGAGAAAGACAACAAGTGAACATAGATTTACACTTTCCAAATGCATATACCTTCAATATCCTATCAAAATGTTGCACACCTTCAGCCAATGACAACTAAGGATAAGACAGCAAACCTGACCTCGTTAAGATTTGGCTACTTTGCATAGGAACTACTTTCGACCCATGACCCAGTGGTGACAATAAGTAAATCATGGACTTTTTCACTATAAAAAACCTTTTCACTGACAATTGTATTATTGTTTAGGGTGTTTAGAATTGATCCCAAAAAGGTGAATAAGACAAGATATATTAAAATAGATTACTTTTCCAGAACATTTTACAATTTGTTTATTTTCTACTTGTTACATAACTTTTCTACGAGACGTGGGAGGTGCTTTTCAATTTCAAACAACAGTTTCCCATATGTCACTCGATTTCAGCCGTTCCGGAACACACACACATATACTTGTCGCGTTAAGAATGAAATAGTATATATCATGGTCTTCACTTCACGTTTTCCACGGTTAGATAGTACCCCGTCACTGATATCCTCCTGTAATGAGTTGGTACATCCCCACTGTATAACTGTAGAAACCAGATACTCTACACGTACAATAGAAGTGCCAAGATAGATATACAACTACATCCTGATATTATTAAACAATTTCGTTTTGGTGATGGCAGTTTAATGATTTCTAATACTACAAATAGTTTGCAGCTTCAAATTAATGTATTTAAGGTCTTTCATGGAAAATGTCAACATGGAAAAAAACAAGAAGTTTTGTTTTTAAAAATGTATGTAAATACCAATATTGGAGAAATTGTATGTGGTAAGTTCTAAAAATACAAGTATATATTTCTACTGTGAAATGTCTTGGAATTTCCATTTAACACAATTGCCTTCCCACAGTTATGAACAACAAGTGTACGATAGGATGGTGATGTACGAGAACTGGGTTTTCAGGAACATGTTAATGACCACGTTTGGGGGTATGTGTGGCCAAGTCAAAAGGTAGAAAGTCCTCATCGATATCCAAAATATTTACCCAGAGGACACGTATGTTCAGAAAAGGAACGTGGTACTTTGACAATAACTTGAATACTGAGTAATCAGGGGCGGATACAGCTTTTTGAGAAAATGGGGTGGGTGTGTGCGCACTCTTAAAAAAGGAGGGGTGTGTGTAAACTCTTCAGTTGTACCGCTTTCACGGGTCATTTAATAAATTTTCAGGACATAAAAAAAGGTGTGTGTGTGTGTGTGTTTTGGGGGTTGGGGGTTGGGTGCGCACTCCTGCACCCCCTTCTAGATCCGCCTATGGTAATGTTCAAACCGAAATGTATCTTCATAGAAATGTTAAAACGCGAGTGTTGGGGAATTAGCTCGCTTGGCAAGAGGTATGACTATACCAACCCACACACAACACAACACCTGAGTAAAATAAACAAGGAGTTTATTACACAGCAGTCACAGTATGACTTGTGTAATCGGTCAATAATAGAATGGTTTACAATTAATTATTAGTACATGTTCACAATGCAATCAGATATCAAAGTACATAAACATCACATGTAGATTCGTTACACACGACACATACCACATTAATCACGATACATATTCCAATGTACACAACAATATTTCAATATTCTACACATCACCCCAGTGGGCGTTCATACAATCTACATTCTGTAATGGTCACAAACAGCACAGTACTCACAACGTAATACAATAGTTAAAATATCCGACACACTCTATACATTCTATAATAGTCACAAAACAGTGTAGTATCAATCAGTATTAAATAAACAGTCCTAAACTGTAATATAGAATTTATGAGACACATACTAAGGGATGCCTCGTTCCACATAAACCTGAAGGTACTGCAAAGGGTGGTAACATATAATTAAGGTATTTACAATAGATTAAAGTTAACATAGAAAAGCAATGGTAAAGATTTATCGAACTTGAAGAAAGTAAAGTTACATACTTAAGTGAATTTACTAGATAGCCACCCCCTCATTTGTGACTGTCATCCGTAATATATATCTATTCTAGCTATCGCAAATAATCGCGTTTACAGATAAAACTTATGCTAACGTTGTTATTGTGAACGTGAGATTATGTCATTTAGTTGGACCGAAGTATCGATGGCCAGTCGCGAGGATGCCACGAAGGTATATGTGGCACGCACGTAATTTGACCAACGTGGAATACAAACAGCCGCAAAGACAGATAAACGTAATGCACCTTGGTTCTGTTAGCTTTAGAGATACTGGTGCCGGATTAAGTCCGATGCTGGTTATCAATGTGACCCTTGGCAGGGTTAAGATTGAGGAACGTAGTCAGTTAGTCTGTAATATTTCCAGTTTTCAATAACGCATATCGTTATAAAATATTGGTAAAACGTTGTCTAGTTTTTCCGTGTTAATAGAAAGACTTCTCAAATTTACAATACCCTTTTCAGGAACAAGATGCCCTAGGCAGAAAATGCAAAATGAAGATACACATTGGTATCCACAGAATTAAATGAATTTACACATTTTGCCCAACCAATCGGTTGTTCCAAACATATTAGTTAACAATCTTCTGTAGTCAAATACTCTTTTATCACTTAGAGCGACACGGCTCCCATTTTAAATGACTTCTTGAAAGGCTAACTTTAATGATCTAACCACTAACTAGTGTCATGTGTTGAATTCACAATGTCTATGCACAAAAGAATTCAGCGTGAAATCAATTAAGGAAGAAATGTAATATATAATTAACCACTGTGATATGAAACAATCTAGATTTGCAAAATACTTGCAATGGCAGTGCAGAATAGAATAGTAGTAATAAGATGACAGATTACAAGTAACTCTGAAAGTATAAAATATAATCCCCTGCAGCTTAATAGAAGGTATGTGAAATAAACCACTCTGTACATGGAATTGGTTTTGTTTTGATCTATTCTCAAAGATCCATGTAATTATCGGGAATGTCAACTTCTGTATTTTGCGGAACACCACGTTTCAGAGTATATTCTCACCCTGGAAATAGCACCTTCAAGAGAAAAAACAAAAATAAAACCCGAATATATATTTGTTGTTACCTTTACTATTTCATCGTAGTTTTCCTCTTAGCTAAACTATTATAGTGATTTCACATAACTTAGGATTTCAGGATTTGATCACAACTGATTATTCACTGAATCCAATGTTTCATCTCTTAGATTGTGTGTGAGTTTTGAAGATACATCGGAGATTTTCAGAGAAGGTTCGTCTATTGTGAACAAGGGCTTCCGTGTGTCTTGTTGTAAGCGAATCGTCCGCTGGACGCCACTGAGAGTTTGGTCGAAGGGACAACATCAGTCTCTGGAACAATGAAATCAAAGGATAATACACAAAATATACATGATGGGTTTGAAGAGTTAGTAATAAGTGCTCTTGAAAAGACAGGTTTCCAAGCGAGAATAGAAGATTGAAAGAGAATCAGGAAGTTTATGCTGAAAAGTTACAGAATTTCGCAGACACAAAGCTGTATGATCATTAGCCGAATGACGCTAATGGCTGTTAACAACAGTTGGCCCTGTGATCGGTGAAATCTGGTTGGGGTGTATTTTCTGATGAGATCAGTGGGGTAGACAATGCAGAGAATACGAGATGCAATAGGAAGTCAGTAGGGATTTGAGAATAGGAGTTGGAGGAGTGATCTGAAACATTGCATACAGTTGTATTCTGCGCTTTTTGCAGTTTCTAAAGTTGGGCTTTGTTGAGACCTACAAAACAGTCCATTACAGGAATCTAATCAAGAAATATTACCCAGTCTTTGGTCTGCCATACGTGTTAAAGTTACATGTTCATCAAGAGTGTAAATCTCACCCGTTGTAATGACCCCTGCCGTTTTAGCAATGATTTTATCATGACAATGATCACTGGAACAACTGGAATGAGGGCAATCATCCATCCAATCGTTTCAACCTCGGCAGGGTAGGTGTACTTCCCGTAGGTGGGAGAATCGTACTGTGAAATCGTTGCGATGAACACGGCCTGCAGGAATGAAAAAAAAGTGAAAAAAAAAATATCCTCTTTTGTACTTGGCTCTTAATGATGTTACCAATGTTTTAAACTGAAACCTCAACTTTCACTTAAAGGGACTAGATTCGGGCCTGTTGCCATTATGTTGCTCTGAAGATTTAACCATTAAACTTTTTCTAAAGTAATAAGATTTTTCTGCTGAAACATATTTGAATAACTTAGTAACGATGCCAGTAGTGCTTAGTGTCAATACCAGGAGAAAAGTTAAACGTGCTTCGCCCTGACCATGGCAACCTCCACATATCCATGCAAAGGCAATTCAACAATTGAGCATACAGCAAATGAAAAACTGGACATGTCCACCACATGCCAACCACAAAAAGTTTGGAATCCTTTAATAACTACTAACTGAATCTCACGACACACACAAAAAATAGTACTGGCAAACTTACTCACACAGGATCTCGCCTAGTTCTGATTTAACAGTATATTTGAATACGAATGTGCCTGGACTTTAGCATAGCTTCGAGAGAGACCATCGTGAATTATAATTGGTGACATCATCCTTAAATTTGGCTACAATAGTAGCAATGGTGAAGACGATACACCCCAACATTAAGTCAAACACACCACCTGTCAACATCAGATATTGTGAAGCAATGATTGTTCTCTTTTACCCAAATTTTCAACATCACTCTAGTTGTATGCATGATAAATTTTGAAGCTGTTTAGCTCCTTCAGAACAATGTGACAAAGTCTCAAATCAACAGATACATCGGAAACATTTTTGTCGGCTTAAAGTAGATGTCCAATGTGGTGTCCAATAAAGTGTGCTACTTGCCATTAACACATCCAGGCAACCAATAAATATGCAACTGAGACACCCGAGCAGAGTCAGCATCGTGTGTTCATGCAATATACACTTGTTCAATAAACTGCTCCCTGTTGGCCCCATTAATGTAAAAAGGAATTTGGATGTGTGCACGACACCGAATTCGATATCGAGCGACCTTAGTATGGAATTAATAAGCATTTAATAAATGTCAGAAGTGGACTCATACAATAACAAAGAAAATGTGGTTTTGAATATTTTGGCTGTATTACTTGGAAACGTGTTGGCGTTTTTGCGGGTTCGTTTGTGGTAGCTGTAAAACCAATAATGGGTAATGATTCTGCTTACAACGGGTATTGCCGGACTGACGATGCCCCACAAACCCTTGACCCCGATATCTATAATCGGTAGGAACATCACACCGACACTTGGGGATGTGTTAGTTTGGTAATAATTCTGCTACAACGAGTATTGTCGGACTGGCGATGTCCAACAAACCCTTTACTCCGGTATCTATAATCAGTAGGAACATCACATCAACACTGGGTGGTGTGTTAGTTGGGTAATGATGCAACTTACAACCAGTATTGCTGGGGTGATGATGCCCCACAGGACTTTGACCAGCATAGGAAGAGGACGTCCACTCATCATATCAATGTCCTCATTCAGCTGCTTGATACCTTCAGTGACAATGCCATGTCATATCTCAAAACATTGGAGCACCAGATGCTTTCGCCAACAACGGATTGCAGAGATAATGCACTCTTGATAACCATTGATGTTCCCAAACAGAACGTCCAGAAGTTTTAACTTTATACGAACTGAAGTTGAACCCTTCTACATGTACATGTATTAACAAAATGAGTGTTTGAAGTAAAACGTTATCAGCAGGTAACACGAGGCTATTTGTGTTTTAATATACTTACATGAAATGGAAGCTGTTCATGACCTCAATCAGTGATTTGTATGGCATAGAGTTGATATAATGTTACTGTTATATTGCTTAAGCGTTTAGAGTGGTGTAAAACAAGATATATCTAAACATCTAAACTAGATGTTCTTATGCGAGGACATCCCTCCTGATTATCCCATTGGCAACACACAGATATTTCCTTCTTCCAGTAACCAAGGCCGATTCACAAAACACATAACTGCACAATGTACTTAATATTACCGTAGAGCCAGACAGCAGCCACACACCCAGGGTACAGAAGAGGAACACCGACAGTGCTGACAGGTACCAGTCCAGCAACTGCATGATGTACGGACCGCCCTGAAGTGTTGACAGGAGTAGATTGTGCTTATTAGTTCATCAACCTTATCAATGTTGATCATTGCCAGAATTTTAATCGTAGAATGTTTGTAGTTTTAATTTATGGCTAAATTGCTCAACATTCGCCAACAGCTGAAGGGATGATGTAAATCCAGCTTGGGTCCATGCAGGTAGCAAAAGTAATGTAAGTCCCCGTGATCCCTAGCATGGTGATCTACCTTCATTTGCTGGCAATCTATAGCCCGATTTCATATTGTGTTGTTTTGAAATGATTTAGCATTTTACACTAAACTTAAACTAGTTTTAATTAATTTGTGATAATCTAGTAGTTACACTGTCCTTCACTGACAGTTTTTTTAAAAAGTATAAATATACTTATTCTTAGTACATAACTTTTTGAAATATTGCTGACGTGACGTAATAGTTTAACTCACTCACTCAACCTTATCAAAGTTTCAAATGCCCCTACGATACGATTGTATGCACAGACTGATGACTTCAATTTTACAATTGTCATTTTGTCATTTGTGTTGATCAATATTCTGTTGAATACATTCAAACATGCACCTTCGACAAAGATTTTCAAAGCATGTCATACGTCTCACGCCTAGTTTGATCAGGGTTACAACTCTCAAGACCAGAGCAAAGACTTGACAAAGAGTTACTGCAGAGATGTGGAACTCTGCACATATGAGCAATTGAAGGAATCTTTTGTTGCTTTTATTCAGCAGTGAAAGAACACAGGCTGTGAGTAACCAGAAACAGAATTGCAGCCACTGGCAACTTGTTTTTTCTCACTACAAAAGTGTTTCTTCCCTTCGTCTCCTTTTGATTATCATTAAGACTTATTCACATGAAACATGAACAGTGTCAATGCAAACTCTATTTTCTTGCATCCGTATGCCGAACTCATATTGGCACTGAGTACATCTTACCTGTGTACATATGATGATACCAGCAGCAAAGGCGATGACACATATCACCCCTGTGACCCAGCCATGTCTATGTCTGAGTGTTGTGGGGAACTGATCTATGATCGTCGTAGAGAGGATCTCAACAAACAGAAACTGCAATTAAATAAAATGGATTACTTCTTCAATCGTCAGCGTGGTTGAGGCATCATTCGTCAACAACACTCTCCAGGACGAGATGGGCCACGTCATTTCTCTTGTATTTGGGGTTATATTCTGGAAACAGACTCTAAAATCATGGTTATTTTGTTAGATAACAAATTGCCTCACCAGAGAGTCTAATCCTACAGCCAGTAACATCAGGAAAAACAGGAAGGACCAGAGCTGTGGAAGTGGAAGATGTGAGAGGGCTTCTGGGTAGGCAACGAATCCTAATCCTGGTCCTTTGAAAAAATCATGTTATACTCGTCATTCATGGTACATTGTATACCCATATTCAATGTTTTAGTATCCTCAGTTAGCAAAATGATAATACTGCTATATTCTTTGTGCAGTCTCTAAAACCATATTTACATTGTTAGGAAACGGAGATTGGGATTCACCTGTAACACTTTTAATACTCTCACCTGATGATACGACTTCAGATATTGGGACCCCGACTCTTTCAGCCATAACACCCAGGATGGCAAACGTGACAAATCCAGCGAATATGCTCGTTCCTTCTGATACAGTACATAGAATAATGGAATCCCTGAATAACAAGAGCAATTGTTTAGATCAGAGGAATACGGTAACACACGTGTACATGGTAGTTTAGGCAGTATGATTCGGTGTATTATCGAAGTAGGACGTATATGTGTTGGTGTTTGTTTAATGGCACTGTGAACATTGACGACTTGGGTACTCGTGTACGATGTCAAGTTAGAACAGTCCTTGACATATGCTCATGTGATAGATTAATTTTCGAGACTCGAGCCTCATCACCTTAAAGTGGGCTCCCGGAACTTGTTGTAGCTGGATGCTGTCATGATAATCCCCCAGCCTGGACCAAGACTGTAAAACACCTGGATACACGCCTCCACCCACACCTGTGTCAATACAGCAAATGGTTTGAATCATGTAGAATTATCTTTATGACAAGAAACTATGGTTTCCTACAGTAGCGGCAGGCCAGTAAGAATGAGTTCATGAGACTTTTCATATGTGTGTTTATAAGTACCTTGGCTTCTAAAGACAACGATGCAAAACGTGAATGGTTTAGTTTCACACCGCACGTAATTATTATGACGGATAAATATACAGGCGACAGTAACAAATGGCAGTAACGAAGCTGACAGCCCATGGCCGTGAATGTCATGCCAGCTGCATGCATACCCACTATCTGCTACCTCAGTCCCAATGCAAGTCTTCTCCTTGCCAAGTTAAAGTGCATGGATGAAACGGATGGCACATTCACAAGTTTCATACCCTTGAACGGACATGCAAAGATACAGCTTTTAATGATACGAGTGGGTAGCATGCTTTACATGCACATGGTCGGCATTCTGCCAAACGCTTTCAAACTGAAATGTGACCTACATCACTATAATGAAATATATCAGGGGTGCTTAATTAGGTTACATGCGTATATAATGAGTCTTCGTTAAAGATGTTGAATAATGTAGTAAAAACGTCTCCCTATTGTAACTGCTAAATATAACATTTTGTCAAACCACAATTCAAGATGATTATTTGCATTTGTATAGACATTGTATGTACCTGACATCAAATTGTTACAGGATACCTACAAAATGTACAGGACGTCTTGAAGTTCCAAACGTTTCCATCCTGTACGACGTTATGTAGTTTGATGATACAAACAATTCATACCTGCCCTGTGAGGAGTTTGCTGAAATCAGGTTTAAGGTAGTACAGGATACCATCAACAGCTCCTGGCAGCGAACAGGTTCTAATGAAGATCGCCACCAGCAGTATGTAGGGAAGCAATGCCGTCACATATACAATCTACAAAAAACAAATGAAATGTTTATGTCTTCTGTCGTTACACCAGCAAGATATCTATGCAGAAATATGAGCAGTTAACTGCATGAAAACTATTTTTAAAAATCGACCTTTATACTTTTTACATATGTGAATACACCAACATGGTAATAATGATCTCATATGTGCAGCCATCTGTATTTCATTTTTGCTGTATTTCATATTAAATACTGAGAAATGTAGCTCCAGGATCATACAGTTTAAGATAAGTGTGAGATGCATTTACTATGTGGTCCAAATGTCTGGACTGCAAGAACGTTTTGGAGATTGAGATGTATTGTCTGAGAGACAAGGTTGCCATTTGAATATCATGCTGTTCACTCTATTACAGCTTGCAGTATATATACAGTCGAGCCTAAAGCAAATATAATGGCAATGGATATAATGGCAATGGATATAATGTGCAGCACTCAACACAACAGAGAATCGTTGACATGCTGTCAACCAGCCGATGCATTTAGTCGCTTCCCACAACAAGCATAGGTTGCCAGTCACATCTCACTCGTTATACCAATGTGTTGTAGTCATGTGAACATACGGACCAAAAACAACCTGATTATGGTGCTTTAGTCTTACCTTCCCACTAGCCTTGATTCCTCGAAACAGACTTAGAAAAATCAACACATACGACGCAAATAAGCACCCCACTATGTGCCACTGAATAGATCCGATTTCGTGTATTCCACTTGATATATTGAGGACGTTGTACCTGAAAGAGGGTATTTCAGTTTCAAAATATTGATTTCAACTTAAGTGGTATGTGAGACTGTGTGATATTATTTCGATTTTGAATAATTCGGAATTGAGTTATTTCTCCATTTCGCACATGAATCTCTTGACGTTGAGTTGAATATAGGTTGGCGTTCTTTCATTAAACGTACATTGCCAACTTCATTGATCACAGCAATGGTCTATATGCTCTTGGAATATGATACAATGTTATAGGCACTGAACAGTTCCAGTAATCTGAATTTACCATTTCGTATTCACTTAAATATGGAGCATAATTTAGCAGTACTAAAATGTGTCCATGTTACGTCGAATCAATACACACATATCGCAAGTTTTGTAAATATTACAACGAACTCTATATTCCACTCTACTCACTCCCATTTACGTTAGATAGAGAAACACGCCGCTTGAGGACAAATATGAGGTCCCTGACAACGAGGACATATTGCATGCTTCAACGGAATGCCATTTCACAGAACATAAAGACACCCGCCTTGGTTTACACAGTCGGTTGAGAACACAGACGTTCATGAAATGGGGTGTTCTCAAACTAGTTTACTGAGCAGACTGACAAGATACCTACGGGGACTGTACTTATTTTACATGGTTTATCATGCAACACTTTTACATTGCATAACCCACTGGTAGAACTCCTCCACAGCTGTGTGTGATAAGGTCTTGTTTCTCCATAGTTCTGCAATGCTGGTGCCAGTGCCATTGAACCCTGCAGCGTCCGTGTAGTTCAGGACGTGTGTAGAGTTCATAGAATGTCCTTTCAAAGTGGAGATGTCCTCAACACAGAGGTCTGTGTTCCACCAGTTACCACATGTTGTCCAGGGCAGGACACTGGAGCAGGACTTCACCATGTAGTAGATTGGCCAGGCCAGAAGGATTTGATAATAGGGTTGACAAAGTGCAACTTGGATGACCGTTCCAATACCTATACCTACAAAGGTGAATAATCAAGATGAACAAGTGTTGCAAAACAAGTATTGAACAGAGCTTATCATTTGTATATGCTTATAAATAACTCTCGAATGGTAATGATGCTAACTGTTCTTGAATCAGTGAGGGGTATATTAGCCCACTGGTGGCACCCGTCACAAATGGACGCAGGAGAAAGTCAGCTATGAACCAGAAAATACACGTGGGTAAGACAAAATACTGAACTGCAGCAAACATAATATTTGTAACTGTTGCGTCAAATTAACGAATGTTTCAACATGTAGACCATACAATTTTTGAGCATTTAGGTTGACATAACTGAATATTGTAACCCTGATTAAAAAAACAACAACTATATCCAAAGAGTTGTGTGATGCTCTTTGGCATCTTTATTGCCTGCTGGTTCTACCTCAATGTAAACACCAAAGTCTATAGTTGATAGATTATTCCTCGACTCATATTTTGGACGATATCTCAGTGTTGCTATTACCAACAGTAAATGACCACCAGTCTGTTGACATGAGCTGCCATGTCCACTTTCTGTAACCTGTTCCCATGATAGATGAACTGAGGTGAAATGATGTCTGTACACTGATTTGTCTCTGGGATTGAGTTTGGCACCATTCCATAGTTTTCAAATATCTTACTCTTACTTACATCTTTGGGATGCCCGAAACAAACTGAATACATTGACGTTGGTATTTCTTTAGTTAGAGAGATGTAGTCAGCACCCCGCATTTTATGATTAAAACCATATGGCATTGATCTATATAATTGTCAAATACGAAGACTCGATTTGTTCAAAGGGTTTTAATGCTTCTTTCGGACACCTGTGAAAAATTATGAATACAGGGGTACTAACGTTGTAGGAATAAATGGGACAAACAGACCTACCTTTGAGGAGAGGGACAGAAATTCCATATCTGTACAGCACCTTTGCCAGAGAACTGAGCCAGAGACGCCTCAAGGTAAAACACGGGCAAGGCGGCGATAACGATGAATACCAGGAACGGGATCAGGAAAGCACCTGCACAGAACATTAACCCCAAGTTAAGGTTGCTAAAAATGTTATATTTTGAGTATCACTTATGTTGACAGAATTGCCATCTGATATGCCATCGATATTAGTGCTATTCATCTCGTTAGAATTGATTTGGTATGTAGATTTTGGCGAGAATTGAGAAAGTAGAAAGGAATTATCTGTTGCTTTTGTGTTTGCTGATAAATGTTGCTGTTGGCTCGACTCTGATGATATATATCTGGAATTTGTAGCTGTTGGCTGGCCTCTGATGATATCTGCAATATGTTGCTATTGCCTGGTTTTGCGATATTGCTGGAATAATGCCAAAAGCGGTGTAAAACCAAACTCACTCACTCACTGCATCTAGAATATTTAATTGGACATTGCCGTTTGGTACATTGAAGGCAATGTGGCATTTGTGACATTGAAGGCAATGTCTATTATGAGGAACACATCGTTTTGAAGTACTTTTATAGCTTATTTCGGAAATCCGTAACGCTGCACCTTTTGATAAAGGAATTGACATCCACAATTCATTTCCCTTATGTGTATCAAAATATTGTAATTTTAGAATTGTAGATTTTAAATTACACTGCAACCTTTGTCACAAAGTTAATCAAGGAACTTCTACAGTTCCATTCCTCTTCGTTTGCTGGTTCTTATATTTACGTATCAGCCTGTAGTTCAGCGACATTACACTATGACCAGAATGCGTTCTGTTATTATTATGCCTTTCAGTCGAATGTTACTTTGCTGTCAGTTGGGTTAAAATATGTTTCAGTCTTATCTGGCACTTAAGCTTAGTGTGGTAAGGTGATGATGACGGTGATTCGGAGGTTCTCTGGGTTAACGCTTTGTATTACAGTGATGTAAATTGCCTTCGATGTCGGGCGCTATGGTCAGTATTTCAGTCTCATCTGGTACCTCAAAGTAATGATAAGCTCAATGTAATGATAATTTATAGATTTTTCGTGCGCTTTACGACATAATGGGTATTTCAAACATGGCAGGAGAAAATGCCTGAAGATCGGTAAAGGTTTAGGATTGAATACAAATGTAATTTTAAATGAGATCTTTTAATAGTGGTTGTTACACGAGCCAAAAGAGAAGCCTGTGAAATCTGTCTTTTGATGTTGGCTAATATCGGAAATCCGTTTGTCACGAAATGCATCTTTATGGTTCACTCCAGCTGTCATTAGGTCTTACCTCCACCATTTCTGTTGCAGAGGTAAGGGAATCTCCACAGATTACCAAATCCCACACAGTAGCCTATCATAGACATGATGTAATCCCACTGAGATGACCAGTGCTCTCTCTTGTGTCCCGCATCACCGCCGGAAGTGTCCCCATTCATCTCCACCAATCCTACAGCGATGGTGGATGGTGAAGCATCTTTGGGGCCATTAGCAGTTACATCAGAGTCTGACATCATCTGCAAAAATGTGGCATAATACAGAATTCAAACTGTAAATCTTACAGTGATGACAATGGAAATCTACAGTAAAGTAAAGGACGAACCAATGCTGCCTTGTGATCATGATTCAAAACTGTTTCCCTACCCCAATATACTTCACACATGTACATACTAGTTCCAGTATAGATGGGATCATCCACTGAGTCCACGTATTGCTCCAGTTTCCTGATGGGAGTAGGTGAGTGAGTTAAATTGTTACACTGCATCGGCATCGGCCTTATAGCGATGAGTCGGTCTATAAAGGACGGGAAAATAGAATGTTCAATGTCATTTATTGGTTTATCGTGTATCGGTTTAGGTATAAAACAAACCCATTTTTATTAGAATATTAGACACGTAAAGATCCGGGGTAGAATACTTCTTCCGCAACACATGCTTGCTACGAAAGGCGACTATTCTTGTCGTAAGAGGCGACTAACGGGATCGGATGGTCAGGCTCGCTGACTTGGTTGGCACATGACATCGGTTCCCAATTGCGCAGATCGATGCTCATGCTGTTTATCACTGGATTGTCTGGTTCAGACTCGATTTACAGACCACCGCCATATTGCTGAGTGCGGCGTAAAACTCAACTCACTCACTCACTCACTATTAGAATATTATTAGAATAATATTTATTTAGTATGAAATAAAACTGGGGCCATAGACCACGAACGACCAAAATTAGACCACCTTCCTAGGGATCAAAGGGACTTACGTTACTACATGTTTCTGGGGATGATTCTCGTCATGACAAATGAATAAGTGGTTCATTTTCTCATAGTTTTCACTATTGAGTATTCACTCATACAAATATTGGTGTGTTTTCTACAGCGAAGAGAAATGATAAGATTCCATCAGGAATACCCCTCAATGTGACAGTAGCAAGGTTACCACCAGGTCTATATTATTATTCTATGCACCCGTGAAGGTCCGGGTTAGAATATTGTTCTTCAGTAACCCATGCTTGTCGTAAGAGGCGACAAACGGGATCGGGTGGTCAAACTCGCTGACTTGGTTGACACATGTCATCGTATCCCAATTAAGCAGATAAATGCTCATGGTGTTGATCACTGGATTGTCTGGTCCAGACTCGATTATTTACAGAAGGCCGCCATATAGCTCGAATATTGCGGAGTGTGCCGTAAAACTAAACTCACTCACTCATTATTATTCTACGCATGTGTTCTTTGTGATATAACGTACCTAATGATTAATGGGAAAGGGATCAGGTTTGAGAATTACACTACTCACCACTGACCTCGATCAATGAGAAAGTGAGCGGAATTTAAGTCACGTCGGCAGTACACAAGCTATATTGTGACTTGATCAAGCTGTACATTTCTACCATAATATTAAACAATACATTTCAAACTGAAAGCTGTGAAGAAAGGACAATACAATATCCAGATGATCACAGGGCAAGATTTATAACTAGTATGAAAATCAATAAAATTTTAACTATGGTCGACAAAACAATGTAAACAGGCTATCAACAACTGAAGGCAGATCACTATACTAGGGACCATAACGATTTACAGTACATTTGCTGCCTGCATGGACCACAGCTGGAGTTACACCATCCCTTCAGATGTTACCAATTATAGACAAGTCTAGCCATACATTACAATAAATTAACATATATGCTACAATTAAAGATAGTGGCAGATCTAAATTTACTTTGAATGTTTCATGACATACGTACCCTCTCAGGAGGACACTAATTTTACACTACTTTAACCCCCCTTTGAGGACACAGCAACTAACAACCTCAGTTTCTAATTCCAAAAATACTTCAACTTACAAAACATATCAATCGGAATATATCAATGAGTTCTATGTCTTTTACAAAATCAACAATTTAACGACCATTAACATTGTTAAAAAGATCTCTAACCGTTGTTACACTGACATATTTATCACTTCCGTTGGCAAAATCAATACAGTCAAGCAGGACTTGCTTTACCGTGATTCTCTCATCACAGGAAGGCAAAACGGAGGGCCCTCACCATTTCATTAATTTTCACAAGTGTATTCTTTGTGGACAATGCGCCATCGTCGCATGGTGACCTCTTTAAATCTGGACTGACAGCTCAAGTAGGCGTATGGAATACCTTATCACAAACGTGACTTGTTTACTACATCCGTGAAATGACAACTGCCAAGTCTAGTCATGTACACCTACGTTGTGTGTACGTCACCTTAATCAGGTGCAAGGGTCATCATCCCCCGCAACGCGCGCGTGTGTGCGTGCCTGTGTGTGTGTATGTGTAAATTCGTCTTTTCCGGACCGTTCAATATAAAATTTTCGTCACCAAACTTCTCACATAGATAGGCATGCTGGTGTACTGAAGCCTTTTGGTAGCTTTGTATTTCTGAATAAAGTATTTTTTAATTTCCTTGGCAACAACTTTGACTTTGACCTTTCTGGAGCAGAACTTGAAAACCTTTCAATATTCTCTTTCTAGTTTGCTATATACACGCCAAAACATTTGACATAGTCATAACTAGTTCACATATTTATGAACAGTATTTTGCCATTGCGGGGGACTTTGATGACTGTGTCTTCTTGTTGATTAACATTTACTCGACTTCCCTTACAATTTACTCGACTTCTATTACTGATGAATACATTCATCAGCATGTATATAATCATGAAACTGTAATAGTTGTTCATACCATATAATATGTTATTCATAAGTGACAGCAGGACACTAATATCGACCCCATTTCTATAGGCGGTAAAGCAATTTAATGTGTGATAATGTGTCATTAGCACAGGACGAAAAAATAGAATGGGTTATAATTCAGAACAGCTATTTTAAAATACTATCTAACTCTCTGTCACAATCAATTCAATAATTATTCATTATTATATGAATTACTACATTTAAAACGGCAGGCCATGTGGGTTCGACCTAACGGTATACATGTACTACAAAACTTGCACGGACACGAAGAATCATAATAAGATGCTCGGCGTGTGTTTTTATTGGTACAAGCATTTTATGTAACATACATACATACATACATACACACACACACACACACACACACACACACACACACACACACACACACACACACACACACACACACACACATACATACATACATACATACAAATATTTGTAAAGTGCTTTTTATCAATGTAATTGCTCAAAAGCGCTATCTGAGTCCACTTTATCCATGTGCAGAGGTGAATAGGTGCGTCTTGAGTCCACTTTTAAAATTTGACAGTTCTGTTTCGGAACGAAGGATGGATGGTAAATTGTTCCAGAGGAAGGGTCCTGCTCTAGAGAAAGACCTGTCCCCATATGACTTAGTTCTAGTTTGTGGTATTTCAAGGAGAGACTGGTCCATTGAGCGGAGTGATCTAGTTGGGTGATATGGTGTAAGGAGATCCGAGAGGTATTTTGGAGCTAGACCGTTTAGAAACTTGAAAAAAAGGAGCAGGATTTTGTAGTCGATTTCACATCCAGGCATCGACGGATCAATGTTGCACAGATGGAAATAACATTGGCGACAGACATTGCGAACATGGGGTTCCATGCTGAGGGCATAGTCAAAGATTACACCAAGATTGCGAACATGTGGCCTCATTTTTATTGCAGATTCACCAATGCAAAACTGTGGAAGCAGAAGCTTTTTCTGAAGTCGAAGAGGGTGGAACACAATGAGCTCAGTTTTATCATCATTTAATTTAAGATAGTTCGATGACATCCAACTCTTGATACAATCAACACATTCTTCTACTCTTGAAAAGGAGAACTTGGTTGAAGATGCGTCAGATGGCTTGAAGGATAAGTAGACTTGCGTGTCATCAGCATAGAGGTGCATACTTAAGTTGTAGGACCTTACAATATCACAGAGGGAAGATGTGTAGCATGTGAAAAGTAGGGGGCCTAGGTCTGTTAAGTAGGAGACAAACCACCTTAATGCAAGATCTTTGACATTGAACCAGTTTTCAAGTGTAGAGAGTAGCACAGAATGGTCAACAGTGTCAAAAGCAGCTGAGAGATCCATCGGTGTCTATGCCTCTTAGGGTGTCGTTCTGAACCTTCAGCAACGCAGTTTCCGTGCTGTGGAAGGATCGGTAGGCAGATTGGCACTCTTCATAGAAGCTGTTTCTGCTCATATGGTTTCTGAATTGAGAAGCAACAATGCGCTCAATCAGCTTAGAAATGAATGTCAAATTGGATATTGGTCTGTAGTGTTTTAACAATTCGTGATCGAGATTCTTCTTCTTTATGAGGGGAGTGATAATTGCTGTCTTCAGTTGATCAGGCATTACACCTTGGCTTAGCGAACTGTTGGTGACATATGTCCAGATAGGAAGAAGAGATTGAATGGTTTGTTTCAAGAGCCACGTTGGTAATGGGTCAAGCAAACATGATTTCGCTGGACATTTGGAGACAAGTTTGGACATTTCATCTTCCGTCACAGATCTAAACGAGGACAAAGGAAGTGAGTTCGTGATTACTGGAACTTTCGCGGCATCATGGTGATATTTGAAGGATTGGCGTATGATGTTGATCTTGTCAGTGAAGAAGCCCGAAAACCGATTAGCCAGTTCATCAATAGATGTGTGAGATGGGAGAACAAGAGAGTTCCGTTTAAACAACAAGCTGTTGGCAATTCTGAACACTTCCTTCTGTCCAGTAGCTGTATTAATGGCATGTTTATAGAAGTCTGATTTTTGCAGCCTCAATCAGTGATGCTAATGCATTACACTGTTCACTATGCATCTGTTTGTGGATGGTCAATTTAGTTCTCCTATACTGACGTTCCAGCTTCCGCCTCTGTCTCTTTGCAGCACGGATGTTATCATTATACCATGGAGACTCAGGATGGGTTGTGATGGTACAAGTTTTGACAGGTGCATGTTGGTCCGCTAGCTGTGGGAGCAGTGAATCGTACATGTCCACAGCGTCAAAAACAGACATGCCTTGGTAACTGACACATGCTGTTGATATATC